GTACCGAGAATATTCCATAAACTTTATTTTGTCGACAAAGGGGTAAGCACGCCTCGGACAGAGAATGGTGGGATGCAGATGCAGACGGTTNGCCAGCAGCTCCCAGCCAGCAGCTCCCAGCAGCGAGCCAGCGCGCCAGCCAGCCAGAGGAGCCAGCCAGCCAGCAGCAGCCTCAGCAGCCGCCAGCACAGCTGGCACAGCGAGCACAGCAAGCAAGAGGTTCTCAAGAAGGGTTCCAAATCCTGAACCTATTTTGTGTACCGAGAATATTCCATAAACTTTATTTTGTCGACAAAGGGGTAAGCACGCCTCGGACAGAGAATGGTGGGATGCAGATGCAGACGGTTGGACGGGTTCCAAAACTGAACCATCTTTGTGTACCGAGAATATTCCTGGAAGTTTCCTTTTACGCCAAAGTCGTGAGGTCCACTCCGCACGGTACAACGTTTGCCGGTCGCCCCGGTGGTCTAGTTGGTAACCTCGAAACCTTCTAGAGGTCAGGTCAAGGGTTCGAATCCCGGCGTAAGCGAGCGTTTCTTGCAAAGTGATTTTTTCTCTCGCTTCCGCTCCAGGCCTAGACTAGTGGATAGCGCTAGTTCGTGTGTACACAGAGGGAAGAGAGTGCTGAACTCTTCTCGCATTAAAAATCGAAGGCAAAGTACCGCAGGAGGGGAGGGTAGAGAGGGGCTCTTCTGTGTCACCACAGGTTGGAGGAAGCGGCACTGATAGCGCCGTAAGCGCTGATTTGAAGTGAAGACAACAAAAACAAAAAAAAAACGTCGTTTGTCGCTCCGTCAATCTATTTTTTATTTTTTTCTCCCATCATCGGATTCTGTCGTCTGCCCCTCGGGCCCCTATCCTCCACTTCTACTAGCTAGACGACCCCACCGGGGTCACACAGGAGGGGGGGGCTGGCCCCCCTCATGCGGCTCCTGCCTGAGGTATTTTTATCGCGAGAAGGGTACAGTAATCCCGCTTTCATCCAGGATATATTTCGTGAGAATAAAACTCACTCTGCCCGGGACTCGAACCCATGACCTGGCCCATAGATAGCAGGCTTCGAGGTTACCCACTAGACCACCGGGGCGACCGGCTTGTAGACCCATATGCACCGTCGTGTGTCCTCGAATGGTGTGTTGGTGTTCACACACTTCGCTTCTCTCAGGACTTCAGGACGACACCGTTTCACCGTTTCCTGAGATCACTCTCCTCTCGTGGCTCCAGTCGTTCCACTTTTTACATCTGGGCTTATAATCAACCAATAACGCCTGCCCGTGCGGCTGGCGGGTTTCGTGGCCGTTTCATCAGGAGGGCCAAACGACGTATTTTTGTTTACACAGTACTCCGTATTTTCGGATTTTTGCCACCAAGAGAACGTCCAGTCCAGAGTGGTAAATCAGGTAGAGTAGCAACCTGTCTGTACAACCTGTCTACTATAGCTATGCCGTCACACAGTTTTGCTTCGTTTACAGTAGTACGTTTGTCGAGGCTGAAGAAAGCAGCTTCAAAGCGTCGTCGATGAAGTAGGTGGTTGGTGACCCAACCTGCTTTTGCTTCCGCATGGGTGTGAACACGCCTACAACCCATGTTGTGGTTGTGGTGTGATCTCTCCAGCAATGACGGTTTCGCGTCGGTACGGAGTAGGGAGTACAGGCGGGGTTTCTTGGCTCCCCTGTGTTCTGCCGGTGGCCCGATGCCACGCTCTCGCCTACCCTTCTGTTGTATCTATTTCTTTCCGTCTGTACCTGGTGGGACGACGACTCGTCTACTGTACATGTTTATTATTGTAGTGCACTGAATATCAACTTATTTCCTCATCGATTGCCCGCATTAGTCTGAGGTTCGAACACTTGCTGCACAACTACATCGGCTATAAAGTATGTTACAAGCAGACAGCAGTTGGAAACAATGCAACACGGGTGCAGCCAAGGCCAACCGATTGCCCCAAACGACGGCAATCCCGCCTGTGTAAAGAAAGAGGCAGGAACACACAGCACTCTGACATACTGCTTCGTCCTACATACACGTCGCGAAGAGTTGCTTGCGCAGCCCCCCCCCCGCACGAGTGAACGAATGATGAATGAATGTACCCACAATTCGGCACGCAATCCCCTCCCAACATCGCCCCTCTACCCTCGCACCACAAACAGAGCCCAATGCAATTTGGTCACAACAACGAAACGTTACCCACAGGGGAGATAACACTCTGTGTTGCTCGGAGGCCAGAAAAACACAGTACAGGTACTGTTCATACATTGTAGAATAGTAACGAAAACGAATGATTCACTTGTTGGGATCACACACATAGACTATAGATATACAATCACAGAAACCTCCCCGTTCGACGGATTGCGATAAAAAACGAACAGACCCGCGAATCGACCTCGCCATCACCACCACCTCCACCGAAAAACGGCAAACGACCAAACGATCATCATAATTAACAATGACGCTTCGAGGTCGCGGTAATGGGAAATGACCATAGAATGGACAACGACGAGATAACAACAGTCAGCGCGCATCTTCCACGTGCTCGAGCAAAACGCCGGCATCGTCGCCATCGCTCACGGGCGGCGGTGGTCGCGGTGTCGTTGGCAGTACAACATCCGGGGCAGGCACTGCAATAGTTTCCCCCTCATTTTTTGTACGACGCCTCAACGGCAACGGCGGTGGCACCGGCAGAAAAATCAGCTGAGAAACACCCCAGCCGCGATTGGAGCCGTCGGAGCTACAACACGCCCACCCTCACGACATTGGACCAGGCACAGCGTCTTCGGGCGCACACGGGGCAGTAGCAGCGGTGGCGGTAGCGGCGGCCGCGGTGAGCGCCGACGGCCCCGAGGTAAAAGGGTTATGGGGTAACCCGTGTGCTCTTCCATCACACCTATTGCCTCCGCCGCCGATCCCCGCTTCCCGAGCCCAGTGATCATGAGCTGGAACTCTCTGCCAAGGGTGGAGATCTCGTCGTCTCCCCGGCAGAGGAGATAGTCCAAGAAACGTGCCCCACCAGCGCCTCTGCCGCCGGCCGCGCCGATGTCACATGTTTATTGTTGGAGCAATTAGAGAGAGAAAGAGCATGGCGGGTAGATCGAAGAACCAAATCAGTAGCGGGTTTTGCTTGAGCGAAAACTGCATGAAGTCAGGACCCGGGCAATTGCACGCACCGGTCGCCCCGGTGGTCTAGTGGTATCCTCGTAATCCGCTAGTTGCAGAGGTCGTGAGTTCGAACCACCATGGGGTGAAAATTTTACGAAATGTGCGGGTGAAAGCGAAATATAGCTAAAAAAGCTATCGTGAGTACTAAAACATCGACGTTTGCACCGTTGACGAGGGAAAGGGACGGCTGGACCCTTCTCGCGATAAAAAAAAAATTCAGCNAAGCTCTCGTGAGTACCAAACTTCGACGTTAGCACCGTTGACGAGGGAAAGGGACGGCTGGACCCTTCTCGCGATAAAAATAAATTTCAGCGCGAACCGCGGGAGGAAGGTGGGGCATGAAAAGCAATAAAAAGAAGAAAAAAGCCCTGGTGTTTACCCCCTCCTGTGTGACCCTGGATGGTTGTAGTTGTACGAAAAACACACTGAAAAGTGTAGTACTCTACATACATACGCTGAAGAGTGAAGTACACGTCTCACCACGAAAAATGGGGGGATTGTCGCCATAATAAATAGGACGAAAACACACAAAAAAAACACACACACACACACACACGCTCTTTGCATCAGTGGCTTCCTAGGTTCGGGCGAAGGCATGTGTGGAGCTATGGCAGTGTATGTGTTGCTGTTTTGTTTGAGTCA